GTTTGAGAAGAGCTCAATATAGGGACTGCACGTGGAAGGAAATATGTGTGGTTGAATAAGAATTTATTATGCCTCTGACTTAGGGGAGATGGGCCATATTTGTGTCTTTCTACAGAGAGAGGATGCTTCTCTTCCCAAGTGTTCTTATGGACTGTTGCTGGGATCTCCATCCTACTACTCAGTGCCTGTTTTATCACTCGATGTGTTTGTGAGTGCTGAAGGTCAAATGCAACCTTCCTGGGGAATATTAGGAGTAAATTCTTCCTTGCTGCCTGTGGGTTCTCTTCTCCCATTAAGACTATTTATAGACTACCTTTCCCCTCTATTTATTTCCAGGTCATTCCTCGAACCAGAAACACCAGCTAGTATAGAACTGTTACCAAATTTCAGTGACCTCGGATGCATTTTTCATGATAGACATTTTTCATCTCCTTGGTAGCCCTGAGTGCTTCCCTTTGTACCTCTGTCATTCACTAGTAGAACCCCTTCTATGAGATACGAGCCTGAGGCATGACAAATCACTTTTTGGAAGGAAGGGTAGAGAGGGTTAGACTTGGCATGAGAGAGAATGTTAACACATTTGTCTTCTCTTGGCCTATGGGCCTGAACTAAAGTACATTTATTTTTATAAATTACAAAAACCATAACATGTAATAAATTCCCTCTTTTTAAAGTCAATCTCAGTGCCTCTCCATGCAGAAGGAAAAGTAGATAGAAAGAAAATATGGTAATTGTTCGCAATTCTGTTATAAATACAAAAATAATAAAATTTATTTTATCAAAAGAGTAATAAATATTAACGGTGCCCCTGTCCTTACAGTGACATATCACATCTTTCAACTCTGTGATGAGAAGGAGGACCAGCCATATGAGCTCATAGAATTCAACTGCTACAATAATGCATCAGGTATAATATTCCTCAAATTTGGACATAAAATTTACATATCAATATTTGTTGGCTTCTAAATTGATTTTGGGATAAATAACGTAGTTTGAGTAGGTCCTGTTTTTCAAAAACAAAATGTAAAATCTTGCCTGTACTGTAATAGAAGGATAAGGAATTTGTTAAGAAGACAGGCAATCTTGGGGACATTATAGCAAACTTTTAGAATAAATTTGAGGTATATATCTGAACACTAAATCTAGAGGTGAACTGTGTTATCCCCAGGAGTGCAC